CCTTACAGAGACCTGAACATTCATTTCAATATGCAAACAGCAATTTAATTTCAGTATGCAATAATCATCAGGAGTGCAATGCAATCCTTTGTGAAGGATTTTTTAACAGCAGCAGTTGAAAATTATTTTCAGGTGCAAAGCTGATTCAAAGGCCATGTGATTTAGTGAGCCAGTTCCTTCCTTATGTGACCTTTGGCAGGTTTCTTGACATCAGACCCATAAAAGGACCGAGGCATGGCCATGCCAGTTGCTCCACTGCTGGAAGGGATTTTTCCAACCAGCTGGAGCGCCTGCCTACACTATCCACTAGGCAAACAGTCAGCTGCCTCCTGTGAATCTGCAACCCTCAGCAGGATGGCACCTGAATTAGGCAATGGGAAATACCAAAGATCTGAAGCCCTTCTACCAACTTGTAGGCTCAGGTTAAGCATCATCAGCGCCTTCCTTGATTTGAGTCCAGGGATATCACCTACTATTTTTATAGATAAGACAGAGTCAAGGGACAAAGCAATGATATTGGTAGAGCAGTTAAGCAACTACAGCACTCAGAAAATGGGAGACTCATTCAATGCCTTCCTCTATTGGAATAGTTTTCAATGTACATATCTTACCTGTCATCTAACTGAGCCACCCAGCTGTAGTTTACTTGTCCCTCCTCTCAGAGCGGAGGCTCTGCATCATAGTGAATGCAAACTTTAAAAGCACATTGGTGGGAGAAGGGCCTTGCTGGGTCCAGGTCCCACTCCCAGTCCTGCTTCTGTATTTTAGCCACAGCTATTGATGCCACATGTCCATAGAATCACTCCTGATGCAACCTCTTCTGGCTGTTCTTGAATGTCAAGTGCCCATGCCAGTGCAGAACACGCCTAGCCCTAGGCAGCCTGAGGTCCTTGAAGGGTGATAACTTCCAAGCTGCTGCAGGGAGGAGATGACAGCTAAGCCAGCAGAAGCTTGGGAAACAAGCAGCAACAGATACCGGGCATGCCACTACCTTCACTGATGAGAGCACCGGCGTACAGATTCCCTGATGACTCAGCCACTGGGTGACTCGATCTGGCTTTTAATGGAAATAAAGGCTCGTAATTTGATCTGTATGGGGATCTGTCTCTTCCTCACTCCTAGCTGTCGAGCTGAAATTTCAAATATCAGCCAAAACAGACAGAGAAATATAATTTTCCATCATGACTGAGTGCATAGAAAAAGGTAGCTGGGAAGAGGAGAGAAAAGAGAAGAAATATTGGGTCTTTAGCCCATCATTTTTTGCATTACGAGAAGTCATACAGGTTTAAAGACCTTAAAAACTATTTTCTATTCCAAGATGAAAATTACTGCTGAACACATTGATATGATTTGGTTTTATCCATCTCCTGTGCCAAAGTTATTGCCTTTCTATCACAAAGAATTGGCACCTCCATTGCTACCTTGCACAAAATATTGTATTTTCAAGTCTAGAAACAAATAGAAAGAAATGAATGGGAATGCTTAATTCTTAATAATATTCATGTTAAATAAAATATATATATTAGTCCATGTATCATTCATTCAAAATCATAAATAATCAGATAGTGGTTTTTGGTCCTGTAAAAAAATTATATAAAAAAATCCTTCAAGAACAGGCACTTGAGTTTAAATTTAGTAGTCAATTTGTTAACTTATTCCTGCCAGTTGTAGTAGATTACCTGTGCATATAGAGATAGATGTAAAAATCATCTTGGAGCATATTATGATATATGTGTGTATGGCTGCAACAATTAATCTTATCTGATAATCAGCTACCTTCTTTCAGCTCCTACAGATAGAAAAGGAAATGTAGTGTCATAGTTTTGTTATGATTAACTCACAAGTTTACAAGTTAGGGTTTGCATTTCACTGTCAGAGGTCTGGATTTTTGTTTATTTCACTGAACAAAGAATTAAATGCATTACAATACTGTGTATTCATCTTATGGAAAAGATTAGCATTGCTTAGCAAATATATTTATATATAAAATCATATAAAAATAACAAAATATATTTTTATTTTATATATGTTCTTCACTTTTTGTAACAGCTTCATATTAATATGTTAATTCTGAACATTCTTGCTTCCATATTACAGAAGAATTCCTATACAGAAGAATCCAAATCATTGCCAATACCTTCCATGAAAGGAGCTTCTCCAGGCTAAATACTCATGATTTCCTCAGACTAAACCAGCACCCAGTGTCCCTGCACACCCACTGCAGGTCCCACAGCTGCCCATGTGGTGCAATGTCTCACTTCTCCCACCTTAGTCTATGTATGTGACTCATACGCCTTACTGTACCCAGTGCCAGAGTGGGCTCCAGCATCCTCCTGAAGCACAGAAGTGACGCCTCTCACCCTCCAACTCTGCTTTTTTGCTTCTCATCCTCATGCTGAGCTCCACAACACCTTCTGGAGATGATTTTCACTTAACAAGCTTCCAGCCCATCAGAGATCTGACTCACTCGTCTCATCGTCAACAGATTATGGCTTTTCCAGAACAGCCATTACATAAATTTCAGCCAGCGTCCTTCAAGCAGTACATGGTTCTGCTGCCAGGAATACTGTGCATGTAAAACCACAGCAAAATTAAATGAAGGTGTCAAACTTGATTCAAATTAGTTCTCCCTTGAGGACTTGTAGAGCTTTAATAGTAACACAATTTACATTCAGAGGCATCCTTAACCTAAAGTAAGAAAAGTCACAAGTCTTGAGTGTCATTTAAGGCCCCAGATCCATTCCAGTCAGTAATATCTCAAGCAGAACGTGCCCCATTGCCCACACAGCCTATAGTTGATGTTGACAGGTATTAGGACTTAGGCCTCACAGGTCTCATGCCAACATAGGGATATTTTGATTAATGGCTTATAAATTACCAGATTTCAAAGGCCAGAAGCAATCATTGTAATGATCAAATGACCTTCTACATGCACTTGCCATGATACTTCAGCAAGTGACTCAAATATTAAGGTCCTAAGCACCATTAAAGTCTTAACCAGAAAGTCTCTGTGCTAGAGCTGCAGATGCAGTTAGACCTATTAAATTTTCACTGCATGTAATACCTTATAATAGGTGTTATTAATTGACAATGGATACACAATTCCTGTGAGAGATCTAAGATAAGGATCTGAGAACATATTTTTCTATGTCACTTTAGTTTAAGTAGATGACTAAAGGGGCCAGATGGCAATTTCCTATCACTGGGACTTCAGCACACAAGCAACTTAGCTGCTAAACTCACTTCTCAACTTCTTTACCTCAGCCTAGAGTGCATGCCTGGGCACGTCCGCAAAGCAAGGTTCTTGTTCAGATTTTCCATGACTCTGCATAACTTACAATTCTCATGAGTCTGTTTTCAGAGCTCCTGTGAGTGACAGCAGCAGTAATAGTTTACACCTTAGAAATGTCTCTACATATCTGCAAATACCTACTAAGATACATATTTGCAGTTAGGTAATTAATGTTCCTCTAGACAATAGGAAAGCACACAGGATCACTCCTGAGAAGACAACACAGAAAGAATCGTGTCTTGCAGAATATACCACCTAAGGAGTTTTTCTGCTGTGCCTTTTGCAACCGGACATGTCTATCTCGTATTGGCCTTTTTAGCCACCAACGCGCTTGTAACTAACATGGGTAGTGCCCTTCCCAAATCTTCACTCTTGAAGCCTAGCCATGATGATGATGATGATGATGATGAGACAATAGGAAGACTAAGGCTTAAAAAGTTTGAAGGGCTTTTTTGTATAGTTTTTGGTTGTTTTGTGGGTTTTTTTTATAAAAAGAGGTTCTTTTAGAGTTTATATTTCAATCTCTTCAGCAAACTGCGGTATACTGGAACTTGCTGAAAAGAAATAAATCAGAGTACATTAAAAGCAAATAAATTACAGTTAATGCAAGAGATTTAGTATCTATTTGTTTTCTACATCCCTACTGAAAAGAAAGTTTGTATGTTCCTCAAAAATTACCAAATTAGTATTTTTATAATCAGAACTGTGCATTGGATTTTTTCTTCTGTGACAGCTCATTACTAACTCATGAACTATTGAGAAGGAAACCCTCTCACAACAAAACAAGACAGGAATAATGCAACTGCATGTCTGCCATTATCATAACAAAACAAAACAATCTTAAGTACAAACGCACTTTAAAAAGCAAAGTTAATTACACTGCACAAAGCAAATTTCTCAAGAAAGGGTCTCAAGCTTAGAGCAATCACTTTCAGGTCTGAAGTAGTTCTGCACAGTAGAAAGCTATGATTTTGACAATTTCCTATCCTTTTTTTAATATTGTCTGCATAGTCAAAACAGATACAACTGAAAACTCATCACTGCACAGCTCCACAGGCTGCCAGGATTTGATGTGTTAACTTCGGACAAGGTTCTCTCCCAGTTCTTCCCTTATGTCGGTAGGCTGCGAGGTACCAAGGGAGGGAAAACCACAGAGCAGGCTGATATGAGGAGAAAGCGAAAAGTCTCTTGTGTCCAGACCGCTACCCATGGCGCCTGCTCGCTTTACCTTCCCGGCAGCAGGCTCGTTTCAGGGGCTGTCGGTGGAGGATCACAGCCTGTCCGGGCTGCCCAAGGCTGCCGTGCCGCACGACCACAGCCCGGGCTGCGGAGCTGCCCCGGCGCGGACACCCACGCGCCGCTTTCTGCGAGCCGGTGACCGGGCGACCGAGGCGGCACCCGCCTGCCGCCGGCTCAGCCCTTGGTCCCCTCTCTCAAATTTACGGACGGATCCGGAGGCACCGGGCAGGAGCCAGCCCGGCTCCCCCCGGCACAGACGCCCGCCGCCCCTTTCCCGCCCGGCGCGGGGGCCGGCGGCGGGAAGAGCGCGCGCGGGGGAGGGCGGGCAGCGACAAGAAAAGGAGCGAAACGGCCCCGCGCGGGCGGGAGCCCCGTCCCGCGCGCCCGACGCCGCGCACCGCCCGCCCGCGCGCTGATTGGCCGGCGGCGCGGCCGGGGCTCCCCGGCGGCCGCGCCTGATTGGCCGGATTGTAAAGCGATGTCTGAGGGCGCCTGGCGGGAGCGGCACAGCTGCGCGCCCCCCGCGCGCCCCGGCTCCGGCCGCGGTGAGGGCGCGGAGCCCGCGGAGACTCCCAGCCCTCCCTCATTCCCCCTCCCTGCCCCGCTCCCTGCCCGACTGCCCGGGAGCGCAGCCCCGGCTCCGCGCTCCCCTCGCGTCCCGCCGGGGACGGGAGCGGCTCTTCACAAGGGCCGGGCTAAGGGCGCCTTCTCGCTTTGCAGATGGAGGTGAGCGTCCTGGCGCTGCGGGATCTGGCGAGCGCCCGGCCGGGGCGGCGGGGCCGCGCCGAAGCGGCCCAGAAGGTGAGCGGGCGGGCGCGGGCACGGGCCGGTCGGTGCCCGGCGCCGCGAGTTCCCTGCACGCGTTGCGCCGGAGCCCCGCGCCGGCCCGGGCAGTGTGCGGAGAGGAGGGAGGGATGGAGGGAAGGAGGGCGGCGGGACCGGCGGGCGAGTGCAGGGCCACGATCCAGGAGGCTGGGAGATGGCTCGGGCCCTGGCTCGGGCTCCTCTCGCTCCCCTGGGCAGCGTTTGGGGTTTGCCCATCGGACCTACTCTACCCTGCTATGCTGGTCTGCACAGCAGCATCTTACCTGTGAGTACTTGGAGCACTGGGGTGTCCAACGCTACCCTAAAGATAAAGGGACAATCCAGTGAAAGAACTCCGAGTCATGCCACCCTTGTCAGTAAGTGAAGTTATTGCACTCTGGCACTAACTCCTAGGGAAACACTTTAGCTTTCACCTAAGTCAAACTCACTAAGTGATCTCAAGCATCCCAATGGCTACCATGTGGAAAGGTGGTGGGCTCTTGTAGAAACTCACCATTCTAAAGGTAAGAACCACCAGCCCTAACTTGACATGGGAATTGTATGGTCCTGTTATTTAGCACCACTTTGGCTGTGCATATGCACATGTCCACTCTGCTTGCCTTCTGGTCTGTATACATAAAGCCGTGTTCTCAAGTCAAGAGGCTGAGTAGGGGCCACTCAGGAGAAACAAGCTCATTGTTCCCCTACTGCCTCACCAGCCAGGAGACAAGATATCTAGTCTTGGGCATAACCTTGCTCAGTAATGTCTCCTGAACTAGATGCAATTCATGACCTGCTGCCCATGCTCAGTCTGAGTCCTCCAAAGATTGCATAGTTCTTGTCAGATTCCACTCCTGTTATCTCAGATTTGTTTGAATTCTTGCTTACGTAGTAAGTTCATTAAGCCTTTCCAGTTGTCTTGTAATCATAAGCTATCTCTGCTTGGATCAAGGTCAATCTCATACTTCCACCAACTGCCCTTGCAGTTTTGTGCAATACAGATGGATGGAAATGGTGTAGCATTGCAGCTACTGAAAAAAAAGGGAGAGAGGGTAAAAGTGTTTCTTACCTTAGTAGGTAATCATGATAGTAGGAAATAAAGATCTGAAAAGGAGTAGACATGCTTCTCATGTAGAACCACAACTTTTTTCACTGTGATATTTGTGTAAACATGAAAATTTGAGGTGCTGAAACAGCAGTTTCAGTTGCCCCCACTGCAGTTCCATTACCACTAGCAACAGTGAACAGGAACTGGAGGGGAAGGTAGACTTTCTCCATTCCTTAAGTGTTGATTCACTGCCAAACGTGAAATTGCGAGAATATATTGAGCGCCATCATGATGTAAACATACATTCTAAGAAGTACCATGGCCTCTAAACTGACCCCTAGTTATCACAGTATAGTAAGTTACAACTGGCTGACTGTTAATTGTAAAATGAGATGTATTTATTATATCCTTTTGGGTCATTCATAGATGAACATATGCAGAAGTGCTCTTCATCAGTGCTCAGAGAACAGTGCTTTTGATGTGCCAAATTTGTTTCCAGTTTGAGTGCTACAAAACTGCTCCTAGTAAAAGCCAGTTTCAATTGTTACTAAAACTTTTTTCTCCTTTCTAGCTAGACTGTACCTGTTAGGATGATTTTTGGCATCACCTATTTAAATATCTATTTCAGCGAGTGAATAGTTAAATTACTTTAAAGAAAAGGCAAAACTTAGGAAAGTTCTTGCAGCAAACCAGTATAACTTAATATTTAATATTAATTGGCTTTTTTTGCCATTTCTGAGTTGGATTTGTTGCAACACAAAATATCCAGCCTCAAAGTTGTCATGTTAGACTTTTAAAACTAATTTCCAAAAAAATGAAGCAGTAATCTTAATCTGAACAGGAAGACTTGCTCAATTTGAGACCAAAAAGCCACAGTTACACTGAAGAGTTAATAACTTCAAACCTGAATTTTAGATTAAAAGCAGTTTACTGTGATTTCAAAGGCTTCATTGCCCATTACAGCAAATTATAACCTCTTCTAGGTTTCTGATGATAGTCTGTTCAGTTTGCTTTCTGTCTCACTTCACTCAAGGTGCATAGTAAATCTAGAAACCGCTGAACAATATTAGCTAGAGTTCCAGAAAACAGTGTCCTGTTTATAGGGTACTAAGAGGAATTAAGTGATATCTGAACTATCTAAACAGAACATTGATTTCCCTGGGCAAGAAGAAACAGTGCAACTTTCTGCATGGGTATTTCTGGAAGTCCTGTTCTGTACCAGGCTTAGGATATTTAGGTCACAGTTTTTGATATCCTGCAAAGAAAGCCAATATGGCATCCTCTTTACTTAATTCCTTGAATCTTCATTAGCTATTTACACTAATAGGCTAGAGTGAAGTAGTGTTTCTTGCTGCTCAAAAAACAGATCTCAGCTTAAGGATACCACTGATGCTTCCTTCAGTCAGTCCCTTGAAATGAGTTGATCTGTAGTGATAATTCTTGAAATAAGGGAAAGGGGTAAAATTGGATCAAAGAGGAAATATGGAAAAAGTTTGATTGCAGCTAGGGACTGGAAGGAGTTGAGCTTCATTCAGGGAATGATAAAGATCAGCTGATGAATTAGACTTTTCCTTCTAGCAGCTCTTAGCTGTAGTCAAGGAACAGTTATGAAGATTTTCTTTGTTTCTTTGAGCAGCAGACAGTGCAGACGCAAAACTTTTCTCACTTGCACGTAAAGTTACATCCATTTCAGTTTGACATTTTATGACAGTTTGAGCTGCATCCCCAGCATGGCTTTTAACTAGGGACCTTTCAAACAGAATAGTGTGTTTTCTTGATAAGTGTAATATGAACAGTGCATTATTTCAGTTTTGCTGCGATTTGGTGATTTATGTTTGTGGGCAATGATGTCTTGTAATAACAGTCAGAGTTTAAAAGCCTAATAGGCCACAAATTGCATTCGTTGACCTCCGGTTCTGTATTTCAAGGCAGTATCTCATATACACTTCCTGCAGTACAGCAGCATGTAGAATATTTTACCACTTCCAACAAAGGCAGAAGAACTGTGCTAAATATATCTATGAGTATCAAGGCATGAGTCACTACAATTACCTTCATAAGAACGGTGAAATTGATTGTTGGAATGTTTCCTGTTGTGTCTAAAGAACTTTGTTTTTAATAGGAAAACATATTTGATCGATCCAGGATGGCCCCAAAGACTCCAATTAAGAATGAACCAATTGATCTATCGAAGCAAAAAGGCTGCACGCCGGAAAGAAATCCAATTACACCTGTTAAGATCATTGACAGACCTCAGCCTGATCCCTGGACCCCTACTGCTAACCTGAAGATGCTCGTTAGTGCTGCTAGCCCTGACATGAGGGACAGAGAGAAGAAAAAAGAGCTCTTCAGACCCATAGAAAACAGTGAGCAGAGTGACACGCCGGATTCATTACAGGTGAGACTCAGAACACAATTACCTTATGTTCAGTTAGGAATCAGACCTTCCTTAAATTGTCCCTCAGTTTTCTTCCAAGCAATCCTTTGCTCCCTATGGAAAACTGCAGAATTATAAGACACTCCCAAGGACAGTTACCTACACAGCACTGGCTGAGCAGTAGGACATCAAAAGACTAAAAGCAACTGTCTTACTAGTAACTGACCTGAGACCCCTCAAGAGCCTGAATACTGCTTAAAAGGACAGTGAAGGAAGTAGAGTTTAAATGTTCCATTTTCCCTAGTACTTCTGAACCACATTGGAAAGTAAATTGCCAGATCAGTTTTAAACAGGCATCATTTTCAAAAATAAATTCAACAATGGAAGAGCATGCTTTTCAAATCTTATACCTTGTCCGCAACAACCCTGCAAAGTGGTCAGCTGAAAGCTTTCTCCCTCTTTCCACCCCAGCCCCCAGACTAGTGGTCAAGTGTTAGGAAGATTTTTACTTGCCGAGACTTGGGCAATGCAGGTGTTGATCCTTGTCCTCACTTTGGGAAGTCTGTCCCTGGAGAAAATGACATCAGGTTGTAGTAAGCATCATTACAGTTTTCTTCCTTCGTACTCTTTTTTTGTTGCAACCACTACTTTCCCTCTCCTGGATTATTTCCTGTATAATACCCTTCCCTGGTGATTTCAGTGACAGGAAATTAGTTTGAGGGTCCTCCTACTGAGAAGCATCATTTGATAGGCCACAGATCACACTGGAAGTGTAGTTTTACAGCAAGTACAGTGATTACAGTAGTCTAGAGAATTCTGCATGGTCATAACGAAAGATCATTCCTAACATAGCATCCAGTAAGTAAAAAATAGTTGATGTTAAAGATTACTTCATTACCACTCCAAGCTGCTAAGATCACACAGCATTTTTGGGGTGACTACTATAAAGAGTTCAAATATTTTCTAGTTAATAAAACTTACACTTAATAATCTTCTTTGCTTAGAAAGGTAACTTATAAAAGAAGTAGAAGTGTTACTGTAAGAATACTACTATTTTGATAACATATAAAACTCAAAGAATTCTATCAGAGCAACAGCCTGCCACAAGGTCACTTAGTCACTAGCAAAGGACGGTTTGAGATCCCATACTCAAGGAAATGTGGCCACCATCCTCAGCTTTTCTTTGCCAGAGGGCAAAACTTATTTTCCCGTTTTTGAAACAGAAGAAAACCCCAAGGTTACCAGAAAAACCCTCCATCATTCTCATTTTGTAATAAATAAACATACCTCTTCGTACATTCTTGGCATCACAGTTTTGTTGGTTTTGTGGTTTTTTTTGTCACTTCAGAGACAGAAAAACCATATTCAGACCATCTTACAGAATTCCTTAATGTAACAGTTTGACTGAGTTTAAGGTTCAAAGACCAGGTAGTGCCTTTTATGGTCTCTTAGCATTGTACCCCCAACCCTTCCCCAATCACTGGTTTCTTAAAGTGCTAAAGTCACTGTGAAGGGCAGCAAAAGCTTTTGAAAGAGGTTTTGCAGGAACTCTCTGATGTCTTCTGCATCTTCTGGTTTATTAGATCCAGAATTGTTTGAGGAAATATTCCTTCTCCTCTCAAAAAGAAGTACTCTTTTCAAGTAGGATCTTACCATCTGCAAGTCTTGGGTTTTTGATATTACTGTTTTTTTTCCTTATGCATGACCGTTATTTCGTGATAGTGCAGATAAGAGTTTTTCTGTAGATATCTTGTGTGATGAATTAAAAAGAGCTTGCGTGTCACCCAAGTGCTCTGTGCTTGCAAGAAGTCCATGGTTTTTTTCCTTAATAGAAAATCTGAGCTTAAATATTGCTAGCATCTGAAATATGTCTCGCTTGACTATGTCTTGCTTTTAAAGCTCTGCACTAAAGGGTTAACATTTATTTTTTAACAGTATGATATAGTAGACGACACCACGGTTGATGAATTTGAAAAGCAGAGGCCCAGCAGAAAACAGAAAAGCTTAGGACTTTTGTGCCAAAAGTTTCTAGCTCGCTATCCAAATTATCCATTGTCAACAGAGAAAACTACCATTTCTTTGGATGAAGTGGCTTCAGTTCTTGGTATGTATACCTGCAAAAATGGGGTAACTGATCACCTGGGGTAACCCAACAGGTGGGCCTTCCAGAGATCATCTTCTAACAGACTACATTCAAAATCTGCCTTTCCCATGGTCTGGATGCTCTTTTAATCATACTAATCAAGAGCTGGAAATGCCTAAAATTCCTGAGTGTCTTTGCTGCTTGTTAATGCTACCATTTTGAAATCTACTTTCTGACAGTACTTTTCACTGGACAAATCTTGCCTCCAACTGTTTACCAACTCTTTTACTTTCCTAAATATTCAATTTATTGAACACTGAAGGACTCAAGAGTTGAAAAACCTCTGAAAGAGGACTTATAAACAACAAATTTTGTCAAAATGAAACATTTGAGGAAACGATTGCAAACTACTAGGTGTAGGAGATTATTTGGGTTTACTGCCTGACTTCTGCAATATGTCTGACATTATGCCTTCCAAGATCTCATGGTTCTCAAGGTTATCTTAGGTTTAAATGATGTCCTCTATGACTCTGTTAAGAAAGGCCTTGAAATACTCATTTATTTGCCTTGGTAATGGGAAGTGGAAATAGGATAGAATTCAGATTAGGTAAATAGTTAAATTACTTTTAAAATTAATTATTCTTTGGGATTTTGCAGTTACTCCTTCATGTGTTTGCATGCGATGCTTGTGCTCCAGCCTTGTACAGCTGAACATGAATAGTTCTTTATTTTGTGTTGGAAGTGATGTTACCTTGCTTTCCTAAATGGTAGAAACTTTCTTTTAAAACTTATTGTTGGGAATTTTGCCTCCCAGGAGGGGGCGTTTGTCCTTCTCCCTTTGTTTTCCCTTCCTTGCTTGCTTGTATCCACTTGCCTCAGCGACAACAAAATTACTCACATGTTGCTGCTCTCTGTGTAAAAAATGATGGCTGTGATACAGCTTTTGCTATGAATGTATATTGCTTTGTTCACTGAAGAACTATAGAAAGGCCAAAAAGGGGGCTATAAAAATGCTGATGCCTGAAAAACACCAGGATATGTGTAGCACTCTTGTTTTTCTGGAGTATGTTTCAATCCAAGATTTCCACACTGTAAGAAATACTCATAAATTGTTTCACCTAATTTTCATATGAGGCTGGTAAGTATTATCCATATTCTCCAGAAGGGTAAATAGATGCATCAAGACCTTGCATTCCACAGGGAAGTCTTTCAAAACCTTTCTCCCTAACTAGCGCTTGTTCTGCTCTGCTGATGTTAACTGTTAGGGCATTTCAGGTTCAGATGATGCCACCAGCTTATAGTGCCCTGTGTTATATATAACAGCCATGCTTCAAACAGCACGGGACATGAGTACTTGGAACAGTGAGCAGAGCCACTAACCTGTTCTTGTGCAGTCCCCAGCCTTGCTCACATCAGTCAGGCTGAACTCAAGTTGGGCATATTTCATAGATTTCCCATAGGTGTAGAACCAACCAGCACCAAGGACTCATTTCTGCTGCATTTGGGAACAGTGGGTCACATCCTACACTGCTTTGCACTCTGTGAAGTTTTTAATGCTCCTTTGCTTGGTACTTGCTTAGCAAGTGAAAGTAATTGTGCCCTTGGAAACGCAAGTGGAGGACCACACTCGCACTAGTTCCTATATGAGGGGCTTTTATCTCTACACCATGACAGTGCCAGGCTCAGACCCTTTACTGCCCTCTGTTACACACAGGCTTGTGCCCAGTTATGTGAGCTCTGAAGCTCTCTGTCAGGAAGGACCAAAATGCTCTGAAAACCTCAAGGCAGTCTGGGTAGGTCTTAGTGAGCAAGGCTGGGCAGACTGCAATCAGTTCTAAACACAGTGTAAGTGCTTTAAACTGAAGCCGTGGCTGGATGGGAAGTTAAGAAAATAGACAAAGAGCAGCATACAATGAGGCTGGCCACACATAAATCAGGTCTTAATTGTGCAAATATGGATGTGTCCAGATGAATAGTGAAAAATGTATTGTGGACACTCAGTACTAGAGAACAGCCAGTTCTCTATTCGCTTTTGCTGAACAGCACATTAAATCTGATGAGCATCTATGTCTTTCCTCCCCAACCTTAAAACAGGAGTTGAACGGAGACGAATTTATGATATAGTGAATGTCCTGGAGTCATTGCACTTGGTTAGCCGTGTGGCCAAGAACCAGTACTGTTGGCATGGCCGGCACAACCTCAGCCAAACTCTGAAAATGCTTCAGGAAGCAGGAGAGCTGCAGTATGGAGAGGTAATGACCTTCCAGCACAAGGAGCAGGACTTAGAGTACAAATTTGGAGAACGGAAAAAGGAAACTATTCCTCATTCCCAAGACAGACCATTACTGGACTTTTCAGAACCAGATTGCAGCTCTGGTAAGATAACTGTTGAGTGTGATAATACAAAGACACAAATCTTTTTCTCAGTTTACCATGTGACTTTTTCCCTTGCTTTGCATTTAAATTAAATAATAAAAAATTATCCTTCCCAAAAAGGTTCTGAATTCACCATGGAGGGTGCAGAATTCTTCCTTCTATTTTGTTCCTAACATAGGTCTCAAGACAGATTTTTCCCTCTGTGCTACAAACTGGCAGAACTTCTACTAGATACTCTAGTTCTTTACTCACCTGTACCTGACAGTAAACACTTTATCCTGCCAGAAGGTGCCATCTTCATTTGTCCACTGTTTCATGCTGCCCATGTGACACATAATGGTTTAAGGTACAAAGTCCATTGGAGTCACGAAATTATAGTGGCACAAAACTGTGTAACATAGCATAACATCAGTCTTGGAATCTGACTTTCTAGAAGCTATTTCTGCAATTTTTATTGCCTTTTGAAGAGACGCTTCTGTCTGCATTACTCAGCTGCCTTTCAAAAGATTTCTGCTTCCTGACAAGTAAATACTTTGCTCCTTTTGCGCGTGAGAAACCTACTTACTAGTTTTCTGGCTGTGATGGATGACGTATGCTAAGAGGCTTGGGTATTATTTGTAACACAGCATCTGCAAACAGCAGAAAGGACAAGTCATTGCGGATTATGAGCCAAAAGTTTGTCATGCTGTTCCTTGTCTCCAAGACCAAGATAGTCACTCTGGACATCGCAGCAAAGATACTGATAGAAGAAACCCAGGATACAGTGGACCACAGCAAATTTAAAAGTAAGCTGCATAATGAGAGGCAAATGAATCAGTCAGTGAGTAAAGAAAACAGGGGCATGTTTGAATTGACACCAGGAAGTAACAGCAAGAGCGACTCATGAATCTTTTGCTGAAGTATGGTTTGGGGTTTTTTAATTGCAAGTCTCAGTTTGTGAAAATAGAGCTTGATATGGGGAAGAGTCACTTTGACAATTATCTCCCAAGTTTTAGCTTCAGAATGAAGGAAATTATTTTTTTTTTGGTTGATTTTTTCTTTCATACTTAAACCCTGTTTCCTGTATTACTCTGAATGATGTTTCAGAACTTAATGAACTATGATGTTTAATTTGATGGAAATAATTCTCTTCTCTGCAGAAATGTGCTACTTCTCCTTTTTACCCCAGAAGTCTTTCACAGCTGGATGGTATTTTGCTTTTCAGTTAGTGGGGATTAGTACCTCGATCCCTTGGACAACATGGAAAAACTCAGCATTAGTAAATAATTTTTCTAAGATAAAGACTTTTAAGTCTTTAAAGTACTTTTAAAATAAAGTACTTGCACTTCAGTCTTAAAATTCTACCCCAAATATCAGGAGAAATGTGAGGAGTATAACTGAGCAACATGTAGGTATCATAGTCAACTCAAAGATGTTGTTTACTAGAGTCACAGAGATTTTTCTGAATGTGTTACAATTTTTAAAAATTATGGACATGTGTCCTCTTTGGATCAGCTGTGCACTCTTGTGCCTCTTGCCCCCAGCTTGTCTTTACCCCACGTGGAGGCAGCTGCCTTTTCTGGGAAAATTGTTGGTGTAATCATTCCCTAACCTATTTCCATCGAAATGAGGTAGATGAGCTTAAACCTGAGCAGCAAACATATGAAGCAGCAGTGACAATGAGGTGGGAGCTGGCATGGCAGGCTTCATAGGAGGTGGCCTAAGTGCATCCCAATTTGATTTTACCCACCTCATTTGTGAAAGCTGTGGTGATGTTCTGGAATGAAATTACTTATACACTGTATCCATTGAAACCTGACTGTCTTAACTATTTCTGTGTTTTGTTGTTAGCAAAGGTACGAAGACTGTATGATATTGCCAACGTTCTCACCAGCCTAGGCTTGATCAAGAAAGTTCACGTCACTGAGGAACGAGGACGCAAACCAGCCTTCAAGTGGATTGGGCCTGTGGAATTCTCTGGAAAGACTGGTAACTTGTGTAGCTTGCACTTATTTTCTTTTTGCTTTGACAGGCCCTTCCCAAGTGGTAAAGGTTGCTTTCCATGTGGAAAGAATGGCTCAGCTTTCATTGTGTACCCTGTGATTATTAACTGCTGCCAGCTCAACATTGGCCCTTATTAGACTTTGCGCTCAAGAGCTGGGGCTGTGGAGAGATGTTGAAGGATACTGTGTCTACTCACTTAGATAACTATATGCATAACTGTAGGAATTGTAGAGCAAATGGCAGATAATGCCAACGTCTTCAAATCTGGGTCCACAGCTTTTTTGATTTGCAAAATCTCAGTAATTCCATAACAATTATACAGTGAATTATTGTCTTTGTCTTACCAAGGTATAGCAGGGCTGTTTCTTGGAAATGTCCCCTTGTACAAAACGTTTGAGTGCAAAGAATGAGGCGGTGGGACAGAGCGTCTCTGTAAGCTGATGATTCTTGTCTGGAAGCCAGAGCAAAGGGAAGCCCTTTGGCTTTGATATTTGGGTCAGGCCAGTGCCAGCACCAAGTAAAAGTGAAGGATAATGTTATTGCTATCTTAGTACCCTTTCTCCTCCTGGCCTCTATGGAATGGATAGGAGGGAAGCCCTTATCTTGTCTACTGGTGCCTACTGAGCTCTAAATCTGTTTCAGTGTTGTGGGGTTTGAGATAGTTATGGAGGTTATGTCTTTCCTTAAGCCCAAGTTTGGTAACATGGAAGAAGCCTAAATGAGCTGTGTTGCCTAAAGGACTGTTGTACAAAATTATGTCCCTACAGATGAGCTGAGAGGACATAGCCCAACATCTGATTCTCTGCCAGGGACAGAGAGAGGAGCCTGTGCCCAGTATCAGATCTGTGCTTCTGGAAAACAAAGGTTTACACGTCACGCTTCATTTAATGGTGCACAGCCTTTTGAAGGGACCAGAAGGAAGGTCAGCTCTGAGCCCAACAGCCCACATCAAGAGAGGCAAGGTAACTACTTATGAAACATGTTCTTTTGTGTCCCACTGTATCTGCTCAAATGACAGCCCACCAATTTAAGACGCTTGATTGGCTGAATCAGTGTAATTAAATATGTGAATTACTCCTGGGAGGTACCTATATTTCTACTATCCATGTGATGATGAGATTTGTCTTTTAGACCTTCCAGTCAAGTGCCTGAAGTTAGATGAGGTCAATCTGGGCCATATTGTTTTAAATCTGCAGTTGGTTTTCTGGTAAATATTTCTGTTCTCTACTAACTGCAACTATACTACAGTTTCTTATGTTAAAATTTGGCATAGATAAAGAAAGATTCTTTAGCCACAAAATGCTTGTTTATCTTATGGTTCCTAATGTAATGAATTTTTACAGTAACAATCTAATGAATAGTTGTTGAAAAAGATAAGCAATTACACAGGGGGCTTTTCACAGTCCCCTCTTATAGGAAATGATGATGGTGAACACCTCTCCAGCGGGACTGAGAGTTCTGAGTGTTTTGCAGGTTCTGGCTCTAGGTGATTAGTGGATGTTATAAAAATGTCTCAGGACTGAAAGATTATAGCAATTATTTTATATGACCAGTATCAAAATACGCTTGGTAAACTGAATACCTCTTTGTTCTTTCAGACGGTATTGTGAATTCAGATGAATATTGTTCCAAAATGATAAATCTAGCAGCTGTCTGCAGGCAGAAAATAGAGGAAGATACTAGGTAGGTTGGTCTTAACTCTTGTCCAGTTTCACCTTTGTGCTTGTCATGTTTAGTTTAAGGATAGATTCCAGAGACTGAGATAAAAAAATTGCCAGACAGTCTCGTTATTACTATTTTAATACTGACAGGTGTCAGCATGGCAGGTTTTTTTGTGGTCATTTTATACCCACTTGTACTTGTACCACCACTGTTGTTTTGCTTCTGTAGTTCTTTGTATCATGTATGTTTATATAGGTCATCCCTGTGTCCTTTGACCTGTTGTCTATGTAGGCTGAGCAAATCATGATTCTGTGGAAGAGTGTCTCTGTTTCTCATCTGTCTTCTCTACACCTATCCCTATCTGAATTCATTTGTGAATGATTGACTCTAGTCAAGTGCAACCAAAAGCATTATTGTTCCACCAAAAGCTGGAGAAGTCTGCTTCTGTGTAATTAGGAATAATAAAAAGTGACCCTCCTTGTAAACTGTGTAAAAATAGTGGTTGGGGGGGGGCTTTTTCCACATTTATGTCCAAAATTGTACCTGTTTGCTTCTAAGGATAAAATAGGGGTTTAATTTTGGGCTAAATGTTTTTCTTCTTTTCATTACTGTTTTTTTTTTAGGAATAAAGCTTGTGGCACAGAAACTATACTAAATTCAGCAAGGAACTCAAGCATAACCTCACCTTTTTCCCTTATTCCGGTTCCTGGGGACTCTGATTTTTGTGTTAACCCTTTGCCTCAGGCTGTTTTCCCTGTGGTTCAGACAGAGGTGCCAAGCCTCTCACTACCAATTGGCATCAGCAGCCAAGCTCCACATCCTTCCATGCCTGCAGCTTCCAAAACAGAAAATGGAAAAGCTACCCTGATTCCCAGCCAACCCTTCTTGTGCTTCCCATCTTCATCCCTTTTTATGTTGTGTGGTGGTCTTCTGGAAAATAACTTGAGCGAGACCCTCCCCGCTGCAGGAGAGAAGGGAGACAGGAGTGCCGAAGCTCAGCCTGCTGTACCTTCAGCTGTCTGCAAAAAACACAGCTCCCACAAGTGCACATCACCCTCGTCACCTGCAGATGATGAAGAGCCACCTGCTAAAAAGCAGACCATGGAGCAGAGTGATCTGCCCCTCTCACTTGTAGTACCCAAGGTAAAGTGAATTTCATTATCACTTAGGTTTTCTCATAGTGAGGAAAGACTTTTGCCTAAGACAATGTTTTCAGAAGTGAAAACTCAGTACGCCACTCTTGTTAGAGATACAAATGCTGCCTCCCACATGTTAAGAAAATTGTAAGGGAGCTGTGTCAGGGAGTACAGGCGTTAACTGGGAGACATTTTCACATTACCAGGGGAAAATGGACTGTGATTGCTTTGCCTAGTGATGTGATGCTCAGCTGCTCTTTGGAAGCAGTGTCCTGATCGTTGTCTTGAACAAAACAGTGTGTCAGAGGGGAAAAAATCAATGTAACTATTCTTCCTCATCTTCCTCTGTTAGCTTGGGCTTTCCCAGACAGCAGCAGCATTGCTTATTCTGCTGAGCTATAGCAGATATTATTTGTACTTTCCCACTACTCTACAGCCTGAGTCCCTCTCTCTCAAGTTTGGTGTTGCCCACAGCAGACTGATGAGAGAAAGATGATGGTGAAGGTGATGTGTAGCTGTCTCAGGGTTCTCTTAACTACTGAAAGTAGGGGTCAGGCTCAAGGCTGTATCATATAAGCCATTTGAATGTTCAATATAAACCATTTGAAACAAATGTTTTTCCTTATCAATAAAAAAATAATCCCAGAGACCAGGTATTTCTTACCTAGTGTTTCCAAGTACTGAAAGTGAACTATAGCAAAGGGCACAGGGCTCAGGCATCACTAATATGGCTCTTCAAACCCTCAATCAAAATTTCTAACTTGGTGATTTGCTAATCAAGTTTGTGCTGCTCCTTTGCAGATACTCATTTTATTCCATAGGCGAGGAAGGTGCATGAGAGGCATTGCACTGTGTTTTTTCAGTTTGGACTCTTTGTTTCCACTTTTGTTTTTGCTTAGAAGCCTTTTGAGTCACCCAGGGCTGAATCTACCCCAGGAAATGGCTGTCCCTCTGCTGTACATCTAGAAACTTATCGTCTTGACCTCGCAAGTCCTGCTGCTCCAGAGGCTGCAAGCAAGGAGTCTTTAGATTGTCAGGAGCAACAAAAACGATCTCAGAACACAGACCCTGATGAACCCCCTCCAGGAAATGAGCATATCTCTAAAGAAAATGCCAATCAACCTTTCCAACCACAATATCTTTATTTTCAGCCTACCACTGGTAAGGACAGCCAAACCTCTGTATCTGTTCACTGAGCAAATATGGTGTCCTACAAATGGGTGAATAAGTCTATATTGGGCACAGAAAACCTGACAGCAGTTCTCTGTAGTAGTTTAATAACTCTAAACTACCTTGACATCATGTGAACTGCCGCTTCTCTGAAAAGACAGGCATTTTTCTCAAACATTAATAGAGATAATTAATGTGAGTTTTGCATGCTTGAATTGTGGGCAGCAAAATGGACACTTATCCAGCATTCAAAACTCGGAGGAGCTAGAAATCTAGGTTTGGCAGTACGGTGACCAAAACAGCAGCAGCATTCCCCTGAGTGGATGAATTTAGTCACCTACAAACTTTGTACTGTCTTGTAATATGCATCGTCAGGATAACCCCCAAAAACCAAGGCACTGCAAGTGTAGCCAATCCTGCTTGTAGGACACTCTAGGGATAGAGAGGAAGCAGCTGAAAATATCGCAAGAGAATTTTGTGTCCACCATGGTTTGTGTCTGTGTTTGTGTGCAGTGAAAGACTGTTTTGTTGGAGTAGGACATGTGTGGCAGATTGCCATGACACTGCATTAGTATTTGATTCCTTTGTGGCACCGAGTGGGGTCTATGGATATGACTTAGATGGAGATGGTCAGTTTGAAAATGCTGATCCTGGTGTTTTGGAAGGTCAGACAAACTGGAAACCAGAGCAGCTTCTGTTTCAACACAGTATTTCAGCTGTTTTCAGAAAAATTAATGTCTTTCTGGTCTGTCTTTGTGGGTGACTCCCATCTGTTGAGTTTGGTTTAGTTTGGGGTTTCTTTCTTGTTAAAAGCAACGTATATGTTTTCATATATCAGAGGATATGATTCCTGTTAGTGAAAAAAAGAGTTTGTTTAGCCAGGATGTTGCTTTTAATTGAAGTTAGAAGCAGAAAACAGCAAGATGTGTGTGGTTGGTACTTAATATGACCAAAGTAAATGGATGCAGGTACAGTGAACAAACAGTAGGGGGGGAGATGGAGGAAGGTGAGGAAAAGCAGCTGGACAGAAGAGTCAGGCGTTTGTGACAGTTTTCTTCCTTATTTTTTATTATTTTTGCCATAGTTTACTTCCTAGTCAGACTTTTCTTTATTTTCACACCTTTTTCCTATTCTGGATGAAGTTACAATAATTTACTTCCAATTTGTCAACTGTATTAATGCTTTGTTTTCTCTCTCTTTGGTTTAGGATTAAGCAGTTTTAATTTCCTGTTCTCTGCAAACCAAGCCCCTGGTGCCATAAGCCTGGCTTCGAACCAGTTACCTTCTCTAAGTGTACCCTGTGTCATGGTGCCATCGGCAGCCTTGGGTTCCTTCCCTCTTGTCTGTTCTCCCTCATTCACCAGTCCTCTTTCCCCAGTTCCTGATGGTTCATTCTCAGCTGGTGCCTCCATGAATTGCAGTATGTCCAGCCTGGCATCAACAACCCCTGTTTTCATAAGCACCACAGCAGTGGTCACCCCCAAGGTCTCACCTGCCCCTTCTGTGGATCTACAGCAACCAGCTCACCCTTCTCTGCACCTGAGTCCTGTGCTTACACGATCTTGCAGTGCTGTTAAACTGGACTCCCCCATGTGTGTGGGGCACCCAGTGACCCTTCTGAAGCTGCAGCAGGTAAGAGTGAAAGGTGTGAGGGAGTGATGATGAAAGACACATGCCAGGTCACAGGGCCTGAAGTCACTTTGTGCCACAGTCTGGTGCTGCTGTGTCAGAGTGGTGAGCTGGCACGCTGAGAGCTGGTGTCTTCCACTTAGTTTGTGTGTGTCCATCTGTAGCAGTGGCACAGGGCTTGGGACAGTGTTGAAGACATAGCTCAGCATAGCACATCTATGGTTAGTTTCAAAACTCTTACAGGAATTTTAAAATCCCCCAGAAATCTAAGTCGGTATTTTTTCCCCATTTGACATTATCATTGCGTGTTATGCAATGGCTACAGAAACACATTAGGTGGATAGGAGGATTGTTTGTCAGAATTCAGGAGTCAGTTGGCTGCAACACTTCTTCAGGTAGTAGTGTCCTGGGTTACCCCCTCAGCCCCATTCTGATCTCTCTTCACTACATAATGGAAACGTAACAGCAGCATCAGAACTGAGAGAAACTAACTATTCTTGTGGTGTTTGTTGATATTTTTTATACAGATATTTTTTTTTTAAAAATTTACCATAGAAACAGGCTCTTGGGTAAAAAAATGAGAAATCCAAAAGTGAAGGAGGACTCATTTATCTGAAATACGAGTGACAGAAAACACTCAAGTCACACTGTGTTACCTGGGTCTTTACAACTATTAGCAGTGACATTTTGACACTAATTCAGCTTACATTCTTAAATCTGTGGTTTGTTTTCCTATTGTCTAATGCAGTGACAAGCAGGTTGAACATTTGGAAGCTTTATTGTTGTCTTGTTTGAGCTTTAGAAAAAGGCTGTAATAAGAGACTGGTTGGCAGCCAATCTTATTACAGCTACTAACATTAGAGGTTACAGTAGAGTGGCACCTAAAACAGAAGTGGTCAGGGTTTAGAAGACTAATTTTTGATTTCTCTGGATGCTAACAAATAACAAAAGTGAGTAAAACATCAGGGAAGGGAAAGAGCCATTTAAGCTAAAAGACAAGATTGGCATAAGAATGAATGAATATGAACTAATCATGAAAACATTTAAGTTGGAAATAAGATAGAGGCTTTCATCTTCTAGCAGTGATGTACTGGCATACAGTTCCAGAACAAAAAGCAGGGGCAAAGCCCATAGCTTTTCATGTGGAGCTTCTGAAAGGATGTGTGAGTGGTTCTCTCTAGTAGCAGGGTACAGGGATTAATGTCTCCCAGCTGTCCTCTGTTTGCATGCTTGCATGTAGGCTTTGAGAAAACCCTGCTGAATCACTGATTTTGTTTCACAAATAGCCTTCATCAACTCCCCTCACTCCCAAGAGCATTCGTCCTGCACATCATGAGGCATTTTTCAAAACTCCTGGAAGTCTTGGAGACCCTGTGGCATGGAAGAAAAATGAAGGCAACCAGATCAGAAATGCCAGCTCTGTGCAGAGGAGACTGGAAATCTCCGGTACCAGCCCTGACTAATGCCACTCTTTGCGAAGAGTGGACAGATTGGCTTAGGACCCTGTATTGATTATAAGAGAACAAGCTCTTACCTGGCAAGAGGAGCACGTTAAAATGTCACCCCTTTCAGCATGCTTCCCCATGTACCCACTGGTTCTGTTAACCATCTTCTTCACAAATCATCCTTGGTACTGAAATCCTTTTACTGAATTGTTCCTTCAGCGCTGATTTGAATTCAGATTCTGTGCTTCACACAGCCTTGTGGGCATCAAATTTTATTTGGGATTTTAATTCTATTGCTGTGAGGAGATGCAAAGAGATTTTGGGGTCCCCAGGGGTTCTTTATTTGTGGTTTTAAGTGAGATGTCTAGCACTTATCTGGGGTAAGCATTTTATTTGCATGTACTCTACTTACCCTGAGTAAATCTGTGGTGAAAATGATAAACTTCTGCAGTTGTGAGAGCAACTGCTTCCTTGGTTCCAATCTGTCAAATCCTGCCTCCGCAGTGCAGCCTCTTGCTATTTATTTTGTATGTTGGAGTGGGATTAGTGCAAAAAAGGATTTTTGCAGCTTCAGAATAACAGATTTTCTCAGGGTAGGATTACTTGAATGTCAGTTGGTTGTTGTACAATTTGCCCAGCACTTGTGGTTAGAAAAACCTAATAATAACACAGTATGATTGAATGTATACATATGAAAAATATTAAGACCAAAATAACTGTGAATGTTAACATTTTTATAGTTGTGTTAATGAACTGTTATTAGTCCTTGGGTTGTATTTTTCTTTTACTTCTACTCTAAGCAAAATATGCAAGTTAGATGTAAAGAATACAAAACCTGATTCCTTAAATAGGTTTGACAGAATAATTTGAGTGACAAGCCACTGAGAGGACTGTGCTAAGATTTCATCTCCTGTTTAAATATCTAGTCTAGACTTTATGACCAAGGACCACTGGTAAGTCATTAACCACATGATTAGATTCAGTCTAACCTGAGTCTACTAAGTGCCTACTTAGCTGTCTACTTAAGGGGTATGTGCTTAAGTGCCTAACTCTTCACTTACAGGAATTTCTTAGCATTTGAGCTAGTTAATAGAGCATTTGAGCATATTGGGAAGACAAGGGAGATCTTGTCTATCTAAACTATAAAAAGAAGCTGAAAAGAGCAGGAGCCTCAAATTTTGAAATTACTATAAAAAAAATTTAAAAAATTATCTTTACGCCTTAGGAGAAGGTAATGAGGAAGAAAAGTCTTAACATTCAGAGTCCTCAAATAATGGATGGTGCTATTAATAATATAGGACATAATTTTAAGAGTTAATGCTCTTATGTTTGGGTATGTTTTCTCTCATAGAGCAAGCTGCAATTAAATTTGTGCAGTTTCCTTTTTAAAAGACAGAAAGTGTTGCTTTGACATCACATTATTCTGGATTTTTAGCAAACATAAGGCCAGCATGATCAGCTCTCTCTTTGGTACTGGTACTGATTTTCCAAGCGTAGATATGCTGTTGGATGTACTATTTTGAGGTCAGGGGAGTCTAGGACTTTGTTTGAGGATTGGAGATTTGATGAGGGGGGTTTATTTTTATAATGAAATGTATTATGGAAATGAAATTTAAGAAAGAATTTTAGTGAAGCTGAGAGTTTGAGTAATGTGGCCTTTTCTTAGAATAGACCAATAACAGCTTTTTAAGGAGGGTTTGGTTAGCCCATGTTGAAAGAAAATCTCTAGCAGAATTATCATAGAAAATTTCAGAGGTGGTAAAGAGACATCTTCAGACTGCTAATTTTTTATATTTAAAAGACACTACAGTTATGAAAGTTTACAGTTTTTCCTTCTGGATTATTTCTTCTTAAAAGACATAATAAAACATCCACTTAGATTAATTATTCTTTGAAAAGGAGTGTGTAATTAGCACAGCGCTGCCCCTGCACTTCTGCTAACATGCATGTCTTGCTGTTGGGGCAGGAAACAGGCTGCTAGGGTTCCAGGTGACATGGTGGGTGCTGATTCTCCAAACTTGTCTTTTCTCTTTCCCTCTAGTACAGTGCTGCCTTTTAGTGAAATGGCAGCTGGGTGCAGAGAGGAGCATTAGAGCTAGTATTGGCTGTTTGCTCCAGTTGAAGCATCATCACCAAAATTGCCTTTCTTTGTCAGTAATGTTACTGTGTGCCATAACTAACCTAATTATACTTGAAAATGCAGGGACTGAAAATGAATTTTCAGTTTCCAATTTCTGCTTCTAGTTTTGGGTTTCCGTAAATACAGCAGGTCTGGAAATGAGGATCGACTCCCTCTTCAATGGGTCATGTTTGGGAAAGCAGATTTTGGGTCTGGGAGAAGAAGGATGCTGATATGCTGTCTTGGTTTTGACAACGCAAAATTTTCACTAAAATGGAGTGGGACCACCAAAGCTGTTGGGCAGCAAAGGGATCAAGGCTACTTTCAGTACCTGAGCTGCTGAACTAGACCAGTGAGGGCAAAGAGTTTATGGTCATGAGGGAATGAGTTTACCTTTCCTATCTTTACCTTCACTGAAAGCTAAGAAGTTAAATAAACTAGGAACAACTCATCAGCAAAGTAGCTTTGGAAAAGCAGAATTTGTATTTGCACTGAGGCGAAGTGCGTACCCAGGATGTTCTGCAGGGTTTGTGAAACCTTTCTGTCCCAAGACAGTTGTTGAGGAGGATGAGCATATAACTTATACTTGAATCTATCTGCCACGTTTACATTTCTGATTGTCTTTTGTAAATTGGTGCTATTTCTGTATTTAAAAAGCTGTATTTTTAATGTAAAGCTGCTTCCAGTTTGTTTCTTTGCACTGCTAGTTTAATGTAGATATTAATTTTATTGCTTTTTGTAACTGTTCTTCAGTGATTAGATGTCCTGCTTTTCCTGCTTTCTAGCTATCTTTTTACCTGTCTGCATACAGCTTTACTCCAATCACACTGTCGGGTTGAATATTTTTTTATACTATCTTTTAGCAAAATATTAAACTTTTACAGAATAAAAAATGGAATTGAAACTGAGGCTGTGATTTCAGTATGGAGGACACCTTTGAAAAGAGATATTCATGCACTATGTGTCCAGGTGAGCAGTGCCTTTTGGATGTGAGCATGGAATGAGTAGCAGAGGACAACAGCTCGCACCAGTGGCTCTAGTGTCCAGCTATTTTATGCAGCATGGGCATGATTCCCTCTCTGGCTGTTGCAGGCAGAGACCAGTGCAATGTAAATTGGCTTTTAAAGTCCTTGAGCAGGCCAAGTCAACACCCAGTGGCCCTGGCCCAAAGCCATGTAGAGTGATGCCCAGCCCCACACCATGAGGGCCCATCCCACCAGTGCTGTGGGGCCTGTCCCAGACCCCCCCGTGGCTCTTGCAGGCATCCCTCAGCCTGGCTCTCCAGAGGATGGCAGCAGTGCCTGCCCGACTGCTGACCACAGACACTCAAGAAGCTGACATTTGGTTGTGCATCCTTATAACCACCAGCTTCTTGTAAAGAACAAGTGAAGAACACAGCCATAGAGCTTCTTCCCTTTCTCTTCCCCTTCCCTAATCACACACACGCATAAGACATAGCTCAACCCAAACCCGAGTTTGCTCCCAATTAAAATCAATAGCAGGTTCACTATTGATTTCAGCAAGCCCAGTACTGCCACCTTACCCCTCCCTGCAATTAAAGAGATGTGAGTTAATGTGTCACCAACATGGCTGCAAAATGCTTGTGACTTGCAACTGGTTGAGATCCTCAAAACTCATTTCTAAAAGAAAAACTCAGCAGCTCACTCAGTATTGTTTTGGGGGGTTTTTTGACCTGTTACTCCAGCAATAATGCCTTTCTCTTTCAGTTGATAGAAGAAAAATTATAAGTTTAATAAGATTAAATATTGTATCCGAAGCACTAACAAGCCCTAACCTTGCTCCAGCTCCACTGACAGGACCATGGCCATCGTTTCTTTAGAGAGGAGCAGGGCTGTAGCTTCCAGCAGTTCTTGTCCTCCCTGGTGCACTTAAAACGCCCTCTTTTGAAGTAAAAAGTAATTAGAGGGTAACATCAAGCTGTCTGATTTAGTTCTCTCAATAAAAGGGAAATTCACAAGCAGTGCCATTGTGAATGAACATCTTAATGCTTCACAGCCTGGGCTGGGCAGCCCAGAGCCATCTGGGAGACAAGTGTAACCCCCTGATGCTGGAAGGTGTTGAATGCTGCCGGAAAACCCAGTCAGAGGCAGAAGCGAAAGGGAAGCCTCCAATGGGTGGCAAAGAAAAGCCTGCTCCCACCGTGTCCGGGGAAGCAGATCTTCACCAGCTACCCTGATCAACAAGGAGGGTTTCCTGAGAGGTGCTTGGGTCATGGCAATTCTTTCTCCTTTCAGCCCATAGAGTTCTTGAGTAAGGCTCTGTGGCCTGCTTTATAATATGAAATTTAATAGCTTGGGAGGTAAGGGAGTGAAAAGAAAGGCTTCATACACAACCATGCTGACTGCAATCCTTTGAGAAGATCTGTGTGCACAGTAAGCATTATCATCCAGTTTCTTTCCAAATTCACTTATTGTGCCAGAAATGCAATGAGAATTTGGGATATTTTTTGAAGCCCTTTCTCCAAGGAGTCCTGGAGCCATGAAATGAATCCTATGGTGTCAGCATCAGCTTAAGGTCTGAGAGCCTGAAGCCTTCCCCTATTCCTCTTGCAGGGCACGGCAACTTTACTGGTGGGTGGTAAAAGGGAACCTTGCTTGTTTGCAAAGTGCTGTGACCTCCAAGTCTGATATCACAGGACCTCCTAGGGGACACAAAGTTCTGCCTCAGCTGGACTTCTCATTATTTAGACATATCAGGACATGGCAGAGCCTACTAGCTTGGGATAGCATCAAAACAAACCTGCTTTTGTGGTCCTGCAGTACATGCCTGATTGTCTTGGAGTGACCTTCTCTTGCTGTCTGACCATTGATTTTTTAATGTAAGATTTCTCTTCATAAGCATAAGGCTGAGATCACACAGATTGAAGTCCATTATGTGTATAAGATATTTACAAAAATATTTCAAATGCATTAGATAAAAGAAGATTTTAAGAGGCTGAGAGAGCAGAAGGTCTTTCAGTCTTCCCAGCATATACAATTAAAGATGAAAAAATGTTTCAGATATAGTCAGGGAATATATTTTGCTATAATCAGATAACTATGCAATGCCCTGCCAGAGTAGCTAGGGCTGAGCTCCAGGAGCTTCTGCAGGGGATAAAAGGATTCACTTAGGCACCAACCTCCCTCCTGCCCTGTTAAGAGTCTCTCCAGACATCTTTTCAAGTTAATGCAAGCTGCAAAGTCCTGCATGATCCTAGAGAATTGTTTTCTCTGGGAGAAACCAATGGACACAAAGAAAGTACCAAACCACCAGCTTTTTCCCAGCAAAGTCCTCACCATTTGTTATGCAAGCTAAACACGGCTGTAAACCACCCTTTGGCTTCCTCAAGAAACAAGTCTAATTAAGGAGAGCAAAATGAATCTCAGAGGTTCAGAAACATTTTAAGTCTGTTGAAGCTCAGGAAATCTTGGTCTGGATTATAATTTTATAGAGAAAAATGTTATTTTTATAATTCTACACAAAATTGGGTCATACTTATTTGCTCTTTTTCATTTTCAAGGAGGGAATCTGCCTGGCCAATATTAAAAGAAAAACAAGAAACAGAGTGACAAGTAGCAGAAATCCCTCCCTGACATATCTCCCCATGAGGGCCTATGAGGCATCAACAAGGTCTGAGTCATGACACAGACCTGGATCCTTCCAGATATTGAGGCACCACTGGGAACCCTTGCACACCTCTTGGGGCCTCACAGCTCCCATGGTCACCCAAGGTGGGGGGAGGTCTTTGGATCTGTATCTCCAGAAACAGCCTATCATTTTAAAAGACACAGACACTTGGGAACAAACCCGTCCAATTCATGCACTTCCCACCTGGCATGGTGCAGTGTGTCCTCTGTCTTTGGCTTTGCAAACTCCAAGTGCCTGTGCTCACCGCCACTGCCTTTTATCATCTTTAAACTCCTCTTCAGTTAGGGCAGAGGAAACAGAATATCAGTCTTTCCCCTCTTGGGCCCAGAGACAGTGACCATGGCCAGATGCAGCCCAACACCCAGCTCAGCAACCAGGCTGCTCTGAGGCCAAGCCAGGAACCCGAGCCAGCAAGTCTGAGTCTGGGCCAAGATCATGGACAGAGGTAAGAGCCCAGGCATAGCTGCTACCCAGCTGCCACCTAGCCCAGATGGGACCAGCCGTAAAGCCTCAGCTGAAAAGCAGCTGCGAAGGGACAGGGGGGGCAGTGTCTTGCCTTTAGCTCCTTTCCCTGTAGCCCTTATCAGCAAAGGAGTCCACCTTGGACTCCAGCCAGCTAAATTCCTCAGCTTAGCCAATGAGATGCCTGGAGCAGGGATGCTCTCCAAGACAATGACTTCAACATGCCATTTAAGTTCAGGTGAATGATAAGAAGACTAAAATCAACTCAATACTAGCAGATCTCTGCAGAGCCACATCCACACAGATACAAAGCTTGATCGTATTTGCCAAAGGAAGTTTGCGTCTGTTGTGTAAGAGTAGATAGGGAGGAAGGTTAAAATGACTCTGTTTAATCCAATAGTGCACTAATGAGACAAAGTGATTAATTACACCTCTGTAATGAGAAAGAGATTGTGTACAGACTTGAATCAGCTTTAATATATCACCTTGTAAACTGGCACCGTGTTCACATATACCTACTGGCATTTCAGTACTCCAATTACTAGTGTTTCTGTGTTAAAACAAAGGGTAAAGGCTGTAATTAAGAGGGAGAGAGACCGTTCCTGTCTTGGGCCCCTCCTTGGCCAAAGGGAGCCTGGCTGAGAAGATAAATCATAACCAGATGAGAGTAAAAAGAACTTCTCTCTTCATCAGTGCTTCAAACAGAAGACATTTGGACCAAGGACCAGAAGCATAAAGAGCTGGATTACATATCTTTTCAACTGGAGGATCTGTGGTCAGTCTCTATATCATACACACAGAGGACAAGGCAAACACAGACATTTGTGGGATGATGGCAGCAGCCACTGCTCACTACATCTGGCTAAAGCTGTCTCCTAGCGAAAAGATTCAGAGTATATCTAGAATTTGCTAGAACTGATAGATTTTTGCTCTTAGCAGCTTATCAGAAAGCTGTATGATAAGAAGTTTGCACATCCCCTCCAACAGCCCAACTGTGAAGGGTCTAATCACCACACTGGAAGTACAAATACCTACCTAAGCACAGCTGATGATACTCAAGCTCTTTTCTGATGGGACTTCATTTTTTTATGTCCTTCCTACCCTTTCAAACTGTTTCCTGTCTGCTCACCAGCAATACAGCATGTTTACAGCAGCTTGAAATTGTATGTGAGAGGGGGAAAAAAACCCTGAAAACACTTTGGAGGACAAGATGCTAAACTGAAACCAATGCAAGGGACGAGGAGAATAAGAAAAGAAATTCAGAGACCTTTGGGGCAACAACCAATCAACTACAGCCAGCCAATCAACTACACTGAACCAGAATAGAAATCTAGGTCATTTCCATTTCAACCTAGGAAAATGAGAAACAACAGTGAAATGATCACAGTTTTGGAAACAGTTCTGCAAATAGCAAACAATGTCAGCTAATCCAAGCACTCAATTTCTGAGTATTGCACCATGATGCTTTTTCATGATAGTCCCCTGAAATTATTCACCTGGTCTTCTATGGGATGGCAATAGCTGGCTCAGCTCTGGTGTTCCTCCAGCTCTTGTACAGAGCAATGTACGCAGCAATGCTGTGTGAAACCCTTTGTGTCAAACAGCCTGCATTTCCAAAAGAGAGCCTCTTGTATGAACATCTGGTTTTCTCCCATGTATTGCTGTTATATCACTGCATTTTGACGTACCCTAATGGGTCCCATTGCTCCCCACACTGCAAACCAGAGGCGCATCCTAATTATGTTCTGTAAAATGGTAAAGATGTTTCAACTAGAGGCAAATCTGTAAATATGT